TGGAGTTTCGCAAACTTTCCACGCAAAGCGCTCGTTTCTTAGCCGGATGAAAACTAAATTGATTATGTTCCCATTCATTCGGCTCGTTCGCTCCGCAAATTCTTTAACTGCAGTTGAATAATTGCATTTATGGGCTTATTAGCATTAATAGTCATGCTTAATCGCTTAATAATAGCGCAGAGATGAAAGGAGGCTGGTTGCTTGCAATGCGGCAGATGTGTGGTGTATGGGCTTAATCTTGCCCTTAATGGGACTAAAATCCTTTGTAATTGAGCCCGCAATAGAGTTTCACTTATTAGAAAAAGCGATATTTTGCCATCATTCTGTTCCGGTGGTGGCAACACTAATCACCAGGTCGGTCTCAAATCACCGATCATAAAATTAAGCAAATTAAAAGTATCATTTTTCATGGTGACATGAAAACACGGAAGTGGGAATGCGAAGAATCCGTCCCGTATAATTAAGGCGTCTTTCCGACCATGGGGTGGTCACATACATTTCCATGTCTACATTATGGTTTTCACATGGGTGGCTTTCTTCGCCTACAAGATATCGGTTCTGGTCTATGATAGTCCGGGACGTTATTAGCTATTTGAAGCAAAATGCGGATTTTATTGGGCCGAAATCAAGCACGATCATGTTCGACAGTGGCGAACAAAACCCATCCCCCAACAATTCCAAAACAAGCCGAATAGTTGAATAGAGACCGTTTGCACATAATCGTTTGTATTATGGCAAAAACAGCAATCTAATAAGGGTCTATTGGCTCCGAATGATGTTTCGATAACATGCGGGTGCCAACTTTCATTACTCGCAAATATATTGTTAGTTAGGCCAGTTTCGTGCCCCATTCGGGCAAGTTGCACCTTGACGCGTGCGGGACATGTGCGCTTCATTAGGCGAACGATATTCAACCGATTTTGCCTGCTATGCAAAAAACTACACACTTCTATCTGCTTTATTAAGGAAATTATGTTTTCGTGGACCAGACGTTTCACCAGCACGTACGACTGGAATCTTCAGAACTTGTTCGTTTCGAGTGCTCACACTTCGATCGCAATTCATCAAGTCGAACAGATTTTTCCAATCAGGAACGGGGTTGTCGTCGGATCTCTCGCTCGCACCCATAGGAGGCCGGACTTCCACGGCGCTGCTACGTTCCGACTTGATACCCTCAGCGCTAAAATATTTTAGTTTTGAGCAAGCGATTTTGGAAAAACTTTTTCTATTGAGCAGGATTTGGGACATCGATATCAATTTTATTCACGTTTCCAATTAAAATTTTAAAAATAGTGGCGAGAATGCAATTTGCGAACAATCTGATGTTCTATTTTGAAAATGAGTTAATCGCGGTAAAATTGAAAGTATTTTGATCGGAAAATCGATAGAAAATCGTGCGTTTTTACACAAATTTCAAAATTTTCAAATCGGCCCGATGTGAAGAGTTACGCAGAAAAGAGGCTCGCATGTTTGCTCCACTTGAAACAGTGGAACATTCATCGATCACCTACGTAAAATGTATGTTAATTTTAAGTTGAAATCGACTGGCGACCTGCCACTCAACGTGAACTGAAGCGCATACATCAAGTGAAGCCAAGACTCGAAATCCAATCTCTCAAGCGAACATAACGCGACTGAACTGTCTGCTGATCCCTTGCCAGTGCAAACACATGTTGCAACACGCTCAACTTAGCATAAAAATCTATCCGAATGTTTACCCGCTTGGAAATGCTGCCATCTTGATAGATCTTGCGATGATTGGTTACTGGGAAATTGAACATTTACTGGAAACCCAAGAGAAGCTTTCTTTCCTTAACTGTTGGCCATTTGTTGCACTCGTTGAGCCGAATCAATCTACATGAAAAAACCCTTATCTGCCCTTAACAAGCTTGTTGAAGCACGTGGTATTTTTTGCTGTTGAAACCATATTTCACCGACCTCCAACTGACCACAACCTGAATTTGATGCGTTTAATTAGGCAGACGTATGGTGCATTTTCAAAATTGATATGTCGCATGCATATGCCTCCATATGTGGTTATTAGTTCCGTTAGTGTCCAACGAAAGGGTAACCACAACTTGCAATTAATGGTCTTCCATTAATCCAATCATTCGAATTGAATCGAAATAGTTAATGATTCCGTAGTTGTTGCGACCGACCTTTAGCCGATCTCAAAAGCGCACTTTTAGGTAATAAAACTGCGTTTTAGAGGCGGGCGGAAGACCGCTTTTCTTCGCAAAATCCAGGTTTGATGCTAAATCTGATCAAATTTCGCGAGAATTTTCTTTGGTTGCTCAAAACGAGGGTGGTTTTTTCGTTTTTTTTTCATTATTAAGCGGGCGAAAAATCGCCTCATCAAACAACTGCTTAAAGATTTTCGGGCGGGTCAAAGGAGGCATTTAAAAAACGTTGGCAAATAAATAAAATGTAAAACGTTTTACATGGCAGCTGAATAAATGCCTCAGGATTCTTCCTTAGTTGCTGGAAATGAAGCCTTTACAACTTTTGCTAAGTACTTTTTTCATGTTTACCGAACTTTGGAAGCGCGTTTGAACGGAGTAAAGCTGTTCTATTCATTTTAACATTATCAAGTGTCAAGTCTATGAAATTAGAAAAGTTATCGTCGTTTTGTGCAAGGGTGGCGCAAGATTATTGCAAAATTTCATGTTTTCCGTTCCCTTTTTGCTCATATCTCGGAGGCAAAATGAGCAAGAACGCTCATTTGTACATCATTCTAGACAGAAATAAATGACCTTTTTAGAAAGTGAACC